ATTAATGGGTGTGATTGTTTAATGCTTGAATGATGTTGGGTGTTTGATATTTGGGTTAATTTTATGTTTTAACTAGGATTTGGTGGTTGCAAACACTAAGTCTAGCTTAGTGAGTCTTGACTCTTCTTGAGAAAGAGTGTCTATGACTCCAAAATTAACCCAACAAGGAATTGGGATGGACCCATGAGAATGGTAGTCCCAATTAACGGGTAAAACCTCGAGAGAGTAATTACCCAACTTGAACCATAAGTTGCTTGGCTTGTTAGCCTACCCAATTGGTCTCGAGAGAGTCAATTGGGCAAAATCACTCTTTCTACCGAGAGGTGTGAGAGTGAGTGCAATCGTGCAAAGGTTATAGCATAAGCCCCATAATCATCATTCTTGTATTAGGAATCTATACCCGTTAGTTGACCACCTAGGTAAATGCCACGACCCTAGTGCCTTTCTCTATCTTGCATACAACCTAAAATTAATATCTTAGCCTAATTTAGTTATAATTAATAGTTGTTAAATTGTAGTTGATAATCATAAAAATCCAAAAATGATAGAAGATCAATTAGAAGCAAACACGCATTTCTAGGCTAAGCAAATATCCAACTCCCTTTCTAGCTCCTTGTGGAAATTGACCCCGATACCATTATTGGGTAAAAGTATTAGCGCCCACTTTTCCTAAGGTCGAGTCCGCTGCGCGATAGTCATCTACACAAAAGAGTGCAGAGTGTAGTATCAGCACAACCGACCTCATGTGCCGGTAAGTGCCTAGCCTAACCTCGGCGAGGTAGTGACGAGGCTAGGACCAGACTACCAATTAAACCAGTGCAATTCAACTATATACAGCGAAAAAAGGAATACAGAAATAAACAGTCAAGTATAGGAGGGGAAGCATGCTACGGGGGAGATATCAATTCCAAATAGAAAGACATCAAGTAAATGGAAGAAACAATATAACTCGGATATCAACAAAAAAAATCAGAAATCAATAAATGCACGGCATCACCCTTCGTGCTTTACACTCTTTCCTCACAAAAACAATGCACGGCATCACCCTTCATGCTTTAACTCTCTTTCCTCACCCAAACAACAATCATAAATAATAGGGCAAGGGAAATAAACAAAATCGCAATAATAATCCCGGCAAGGGAACAATAACTCAACAACAAGTCCCGGCAAGGGACAACATGAAAACAATAACTAAATCCCGGCAAGGGAAATAACAATTAAAGCAACAATAGCCCGGCAAGGGGGCAACATACTGACCTCTACTCTTTCTCACTTTTACTTCACAATTCACTTCATAACTCGAGCCAATGCTCTAGAGGTTCGATTATCACTTACACTTTCACAATTCGTTATACGACTTGAGCCAACGCTCCTCAATGTTCATAGGTCACAATTCCTTCTACAACTTTACACAACAAATAGAAACCATCACCAAGGCATGAAAGATACCACGAAGTCATGATAATCACAATATAAAGACTCACGGGCATGCTAGACACCGACGTATAGATACTCGTCACCATGCCTATACGTCGTACTCAACATTTACCACATAGCAAATAGGACTCGACTCCTAATCCCTCAAGCTAAGGTTAGACCAAACACTTACCTCGATGCCACGAACACAATTCACGTTTCAATTATAGCTTTACCCCTCGATTCCACCACCAATTCGCTCGTATCTAGTCACAAGTTACTTAACTACATTAATAAATGCTAAATGAATCAATTCGAATGCATGAAAATGAATTTCCCAATGTTTTACCCAAAAAGTCAAAAATCGCCCCCGGGCCCACATGGTCAAAACCCGAGGTTCGAACCAAAACCCGATCACCCATTCCCCCACGAACCCGAATATATAAATTATTTCGAAATCGGACCTCAAATCGAGGTCCAAATCTCCATTTTTTTAAAAACCTAGGTTCTACCCAAAACACCCAATTTCCTCCATGAAAATCATTGATTTGAAGTTGAAATCTTGTTAAAAGATGTTAAGGATTGAAGAAAATTAGTTAAAAACGACTTAGAATGGATTTGGAGGAGAAGAAACCTTTGAAAAATCGCCTTAGTGTGTTTATGTTTTGAGAGGATATGAAAATGGGTTAAAAATTCGGCTAAGTATAAAAGTTGCAGGTCTCAGATGTGGGAATTGCGAACAGGGGTTCGCAGTTGCGAACCCCGACCTCTGCTAGCTTGGGAAATGCGAAAGGATTCTCGCAATTGCGAGATGGGAATTGCGAAGACAGGGTCGCATTTGCGACCCCGGCGTCAAATGAGAAACTGGTTTTCCGCATTTGCGAGCCAAGTGGTCGCGTTTGCGATTAGGCCTGCCCAGGTCCTATTTTCGCATTTGCGATGAAATTCTCACATTTGGGGGCTCGCATTTGCGAAGCCTGCAGACCTGTGCACATTAGCTGAAAACCTGCAATTTACCAAGTCCAAAATACTCCCGTGGCCTAACCAAAACTCACCCGAGCCCTCGGGGCTCCAGACCAAATATACACACAACCTCAAAAACATCCTACGGACTTATTCGTGTAATGAAATCACCAAAATAACATCATGAACATCGAAATAAACCTCAAAATCAATAAAATTTCTCAAAACTTCTTTAAACATCAAGTTTTGCATTTAAGGACCGAATCACGTCAAATGGATTCCGTTTCTTACCAAATTTTACCAACAACACATATAGATCATATTGAACCTATACCGGGCTCGGAACCATAATACGGGCCCGATACCACCGGTTTCACATAACATTTCACTTACAAAAACTTTTATATTTTTCAGAAAATAATTTCTTTCAAAACTTCATTTCTCGGACTTGGGACCTCGGAATTCGATTCCTGGCATACGCCCAAGTCCCATATTTTTCTACGGACCCTCCGGGACCGTCAAATCACGGGTCCAGGTCCGTTTACCCAAAACGTTGAACGAAGTCAAATTAATTCATTTATAGTCACAATTTATCATTTTTCACAGATTTTCACATATAGGCTTTCCGGCTACGCGCCCGGACTGCGCACGCAAATCGAGGTGATGCTAAAAGAGGTTTCTAAGGCCACAGAGTGCAGAATTCATTTTAGAAACACGTGATGACCTTTTGGGTCATCACAAATTACAAGGTTGCTTTTTAGTTTCTTTCCTTTCTGTTTTTATTGGAATTTTATTTTCTTTATAACTTTTTATTTCTATTATTTTAATTTTTTAATCTTATTTTTACTTTTTAATTTCTTTTGAAATTTTAAAATATATTTTTCTTTGTACATTATTATTTCTCTATCTTTACTTCTCGTGATTCCATGTAACTGCCTACTATATTTTATTATTTATTTATTTTATTATTCTATATTTTTAAACTACACCTCCTAATATTAGAAATAATGAGTCATTAACAAACTTGGCATATAATGAGTGATGCAACTAAAGTAGAATTTCGTTGTTGAATGTGGTTATAAACTTATCATGTTTCCTAATTATTAAGTTGCATTGGAACTTACTATTATTATGTTAGAATTGACATATGTTAAACTATTTTATTTTTTTTAATTTTGAAATTGTGTTATATTCATGATTCAAATTTACCTATTTAGTAGTATTGGCTCACATTGCATGTTGTTCATTTTTTAGTTTGAATAATGTTATGACATTATATTTGTAAATATTAATTTATTTTGTGAAACATGAATTCCATGATATTCTTACAAAACATATATTTTTTATTTTTGTAAGTATCTAAACTAAATATTATTAATTTAAATATATATATATATATATATATATATATATATATATATATATGTTTGTTTTTACAGTATTAGTTATAAATATATGATTACTAAATTAATGTATATTCACGAAAAATATACATCTTAAATACACAATATAATATCATTTATACTTATAAAAATTTATAGGCATATATTTATTATATTAACTTTTAAGTTTTAATAATTACTTAATTTAAAATTTAATCTAACTGTGTAATTACACTTGTGCAATCAAACAGTTAACTTGTAATTATACTATAATTACACTATGACAAACAAACAGGTCGTCGTAATTGCACATCTATGTAATTACTAGGCTGTGCAATTACTACCGTAGTAATTAAACCAATTTCAATTACAGGGTGACTTTCCAAACAGCCTCTTAGAGAAGAGAATTCTTAGAATTGCATCTTGCAGATAACACATACAAGTGTATATATAGGTGGAAATATGACTTTTAAGCTTTTAGTTATATGTGCCATATTAATGACTTATGTACAATGAATTTTGGTCACATAGATAATCTAAAAGTCATATGCGAATTAACTTTGATCACATAGATAATCTAAAAGCCACATAATGCACCTAATTAATGTTCTACACCTAATTAAGAAATGTATACAAAATCATTCTCCACATCAATCCTGTAGTCTGCAAAGTTATAGCCCGTTTGGCCAAGCTTCTAAAATTAGTTTATTTTGAGAAGTGTTTTTCTCAAAAGTACTTTTAAGAAAGTGCTTTTGGTGAGAAGTAGTTTGTGTTTGGCTAATTAATCAGAAAAGCACTTTTGAGCAATAATTAGTGTTTGGCCAAGCTTTTGAAAACTGTTTCTAAGTGTATTTTTCTCAAAAGTACTTCTCAGAAAAGTGCTTTTGGAGAGAATACTTTTTTCTGCTTCTCCAAAACTGCTTCTGCTTCTCCTCAAAAGCACTTTTTTCCTTCCAAAAGGTTTGGCCAAACACCTTAATTTTTGGCCAAAAGTGCTTTTGGCAAAAAAAAACACTTTTGGCCCAAAAAAAAGCTTGGCCAAACAGGCTATTAGAACCAGATTAGCTGTTGAATTTTGCTCTTACTAACAGACATACAGGATCATAAACTAGTCTGATAAAGAAACTGAAGGCAATATAATAAACTAGTATGAACCAAGAAACAGACAGTTGACTGGTTAATTTAAAGAAAAATGAGAAAAGTAACCAAAATACTTGAAAATTTTGGTGAAAAGAAAGTCTATCTTGTGATATGCGAGATGAAAGAATCCAACTCCATTCGAGAAGCACCCCCTTTTTCTGTGGACTGCCTTACGGCTTCTCCCAATTCTTCTGCTCTTTTTCTAATTTCATCGCTTTCTTCTGATGCCATTAACTTCCTAACAACATTCTCAATGGTGGATGCACTCACCATCTCCTCGCGTTTCTCCCACTCCCTAACAAGCACGCCTATTTTCAGTATTTCCGTCACCAAGAAACCATTCTTTGGTTGGTCAGAGTGCATAGGCCAAGCAGCTATTGGCACTCCCATAGTAATACTCTCTATACAAGAATTCCAACCGCAATGACTCATGAACCCCCCAGTCGACGAATGAGCCAAGATTTCTGGTTGTGGTGCCCACTCTCTGACCACTAAGCCTACTTCTTTTACCCTTTCCTCAAACCTTTCTGGCAACTCAACTTGTCTAGCTTTCCCAGTAAAGATATCTCCTCTATCGGCATCTCTCAGCACCCATATAAACCTCTGTTTGCTCCGCTCTAATCCCATCGCGAGCTCCTTGATTTCCCTATCGGAAAATGAAGTTGTTGTTCCAAATGATACATAAAGAACTGATCTTGGAGGTTGTTTGTTCAGCCACTCCAAACATATATTGTTCCTATTTGAGATGTAATCGAGTTTAGCTGGCAGAATTGGTCCAATTGCCCATTGTTTCTTGTTCTGTGTACTTGTTACTTGTACCATCAAATCAAGAAACTTACCTTCGATTACTTTGCTCGTATTATGGATATCGCCTGATCTAATATCCATATATGGACTCTGAGAAGCTCCAAGTTCCCTGACTTTATCTGTCACAACTCCTTCAAGGGAAGGTAGCTTTTTAAGCATTTCTTCTTCAAGTTGGACAGGCATCCCACTAGACAAACATATCCAACTGTACAAAGTGAAAACTGAAATGCAATTAAATATATAGGATTCTGCATTGGACAAGGATGAAACATCCTGAACATTATAGGACATTAAAGAATCATGAACAACAACAACTCGTCTTGCTTTATATGAAATATCGCGAAGGAATGAAGCAATAGGCTCGCGCAGAAGCATAGAAGCATCCCATGATGGCTGAAGATGCGCGGGGAATTTGCTTAAGGAATTAAAGTCAGGTGGAGGTGAGTCAAATTCAGGAGTTGGGAGATCGTGGAATCGGATTTTGGCTATGTCCGAAGGATTTAAGGCATTGGCGCGAAACCTAGCTTGACGATTATGTGTAGCTGAGCCGACATAATAGACGGGGAGACCATAGGAAGAGATTAAACAGGAAAGTTGGAGAAGTTGGTTGAGATGGCCTTGAGCTGGAAATGGAACCATCACTATAGCTACTTCGTCTTGTTTTTTCAAATTGCTGAGTTCATGGCTTTGTATATTCTCATAGCTATCCATGGAAAAAATTAACTCTTTTTGTATTTCTTCAAAGTAACGACTTTGAAATCTATGAGAATTGAATTAAAGTAAACAGAACTAAGACTTGGAAACTTTGGTTACCTTCCATAAAGTTGTTCTCCAAGTATTTATAGATATACACATGTATAAGTGCGTCATACAACTTGTTCAATCTCATAAGAAACAATATGAATCTCCACTGACCATGTTTAAAAAAGACAGTTCGGGTCGGACCACAAATGTCTATTGTACGCAGTCTTACCCTGCATTTCTGCAAGAGGCAGTTTCCGCGGCACGAACCCGTGACCTTCTGGTCATATGACAACAACTTTACCAGTTACAAAGGTCTATTGTACGCAGTCTTACCCTGAATTTCTACAAGAGGCTGTTTCCGCGGCTCGAACCCGTGACCTTCTGGTCATATGGCAACAACTTTACCAGTTACGCCAAGGCTCCCGTTTTCATTGACCATGTTTCTACATTAAAATTAATCTGGGTTAATTTCACTGATGGTCACTCAACTATGTTTCAATTTTACTAAAGTCACTCAACTATTTTTTTTCACTTAAAAGCAACTAAACTTTCACATTGTCACTTAAAAGTCATTTTGGCTCAAACCCCTACCATAAATATGACATGGCATAAAATTTAATGAGAAAAATCCAAAAATAAATGCCACATAAGCTTAAATGGATCATACCCACTTTAGATCCATTTCTTCCTTAATGTGATTTGACCCATAACCGAAATGCTTTCAATAAAAAAATATTCAATTTCACATTAGTTTAAAATGATTATCCTATACTACAAAATTCTTGCCTTTTCTGTTACATAATGCTCATTTATATTATTCTATACTAAAAAAATTCTTATCTTGTTTGTATGCCCCATCCGAGTCGTTTTATTACTCTACTGAAGTTAAAATACTACTGTATCCAACTCACATAACGTATTTATAATTTTCTAGTGAAATTAAAATAGTATTATATTCATCTTGCATAACATATTAATATATCATAAGCATACAAGAATAATAATAAGGCTAATAAGAGTCTATTTTCACAATGAACATGCAATTACAGACAATCTATTGCAATTGTTTAGACAAAAGAGATAATGTATTTGTACGATAAAAACCCCACAAAAAAATCACAAGACCTAATCTTATTAGGGGTGTGTGTTTAACTGTTTTTCCCCCCTATTGAAACCCATTTGGGTTATGGATCAAATCACATTAAGGAAAAAATGGATCTAAAGTGGGTATGGTCCATTTAAGCTTATGTGACATTTATTTTTAGATTTTTCTCACTAAATTTTATGTCATGTCATATTTATGGTAGGGGTTTGAGCCAGAATGACTTTTAAGTGACAATGTGAAAGTTTAGTTACAAAAAGTAGTTGAGTGACTTTAGTAGATAGTTGAGTGACCATCAGCGAAATTAACCTAATTAATCTCAGGCCGACTACTCAAAATAAAAATAAAAAGCTCTAGAAGTTTTCTATATTTTCTAGTGACATAAAGATCTCATATAAAGCTAAAAGAACTCCTAAAAAGTATAGGACCTAAAGTAAACATACCAACATGGCTAAAAATATTCCAACTAATTGGATAGTCTATATAATTTTTTTTTTTCATTGTGCCATACTTTCGCTAATTTAATTTCTTTGATGGATTCCAAGAAATTATATGTCTCTCGAGACTTCTTTTTACATGACATTAGGTATACCTCGTCCTACTTAACACCTTCACTCTCCGTGGTCTTACACCAAAAACCGGTGCATTTGAAGGCGAATGTAGGAGATGACCAAATTAGTAACTACTGTAGTATCACTGATTTTAAATCATGTTCCATCCACCTTGTGACAAAACGATAAGATAAATTATATGGGAAAAAAATTGAACAATGTGTTTCCACGAGTTGGTTTGATCGATTTTTACCTAAAAAGAAACCAAACAGACAGGTCGATTTACTAAATAGCGAACCAAAGTCGATTCTGTTTCAATATTTGTTGTTTTTTTCATTTAAAATATATATTAAATTTATTCAATCTCCAAGAGTCAAAGGTAGATTTTCTCATATTTCGCCATATATATAAAATCAAACAAGTTGATGAACCTATTATCTATTGAAACATCTATATGTAAAGATCACCGTGATATAAACAACAACCTCCTAAGAAGTATCGTGACCAAAGTTCCGGCTTCAGCACAAAAGAAAAGAGACATACACAAAAACCTAATAAGAAAAAACAAATTTAAATGGATACCAGGGAAGGAATAGATAATTTTATTACGTCTCCCAAAATATATATCGACAAGAAAACTACGCACTCAACCTAAAGTTCTAGTAATTGCCGTTTTGACAAGTTCTTTTTGTGGGTAGAAATGACACAAGATGGTCATTTGAAAAATTGCTATTTAGGAATTAGCTAATGTATCCTATACTTTAGTTTTTCAGTTCAATTTTTTGGGATACCAATGTCCCGAATTGTCCCGAAATTAAGATTTTGGTTAAAAATTTTACAAAATTGTTGGCATCGAAATAACATGGTGCATGCGGAAGCCAACAAAGACAACTTTGATGACGATAAATCAACATAAACAAACATATCAAAAGAGACTATCATTTAAAAGTGGTTTGGTCAAGTTACATACATCAATTTACTAAAAAAAATATAGAAAGAATAAATTCTCCCTCTAAACAAAACTCTCTGAAAAAACTATATTGTGGATATTATTATTTTTGTTATGAGAAACAGTGATCATCAATTTTAGATGTTCAAGACTTTTCCTCCAAGAAAAGGATAAGGCATAAGGAGAGTTATTCTTTTAGAAATCTTTTTCCTTTCCTTCAAGAAAGAGAGTCCTAATAGATTAGAAATTCAGGGCAAAACCCTAATAATTCTCCTCTTGGCCAGAATTTTCTTGACAAAACCTTATCCTTCTTCATCACATAATCTTCATCACTGTTGCTTGCCATGGTAAAAAATAGTTATGGGTTAAATTGGAGTCATATGCATTAAAAGTGAGCAAGAATTAAAAATATTGAAGCCCATAAACATGGTTTAAAATTGATGATTTGCTTTTAAAGATGCAACAACAAGAATGTTGAAAATATGGTTGAAAATTTTATCTTCACATGTAGTACTCCGAACATTTTTTTGACAAAAAAACTTCATTATCGTCAGATTGGCGTTGCTTGATTTGAACTCGCCTTGAACCTGTCTTCAGCCTCATTTAACCATTGGCTTTGATACCAAGGGATCGAAATAACATGTTGCATGCAGAAGCGAACAAAGACAACTTTGATGACGATAATCATGCATAAACAAACATATCAAAAGAAACTACTGTTTAAAAGTGATTTGGTCAAGTGACCTACATCATTCTACCAAACAAATTATAGAGAGAATACATTCATCCTCTAAAGAAAATATTGTGGAAATTGTTGTTCTTGTTGTGGAAAACAGAGATTATCAATCTTCAATTGTTCAAGACTTTTCCTCCAAGAAAAGGATAAGGCGTATGAAGGAGATTTAGGCCTCATTTATTTTTTTAAGATTAAGACGTCTGAATCTGAATACACATCTGAATATTAAGATGTGTATTAAGATTAAGAAATTTGAATCTGAATACTAAATAATTAAGACTGTTTGATTTTTAACATCTGCATGTATAAAATTTATCTTTGTTTGAAAACTAATAAACATAAAATTCAAATGAAATACTAATTAATCTAATATTCTATCAATGAAATATATAGTTTTTAAAAATATGATAGTTGCTGGTGGCGATGGCTAATGGTAGTACTTGTGAATACCGACTAGAAGCGGTGGTTGATAGTAATTTTGGCTGGTGGTGGTGGTTTAGGGTAGTAATTAGTGGTGATTGATAATAGTGTCGATTATGATTGATGATGGTGATGGTTGGTGGTGACTATTAATAATGGTGGGTGGTAGTGGTGGTTGTGATTGAGGAAGGTGGTGGTGGGTGGTGGTGGTTTATAATGATGGGCAGTGCCGACTATGTTTGTTGATGGTGATGGAGTGGTTAGTAGTGGTAGTTGAAGTGGATGAGTATTGGTTGTGGTTGAGAGTAATGGCGGTGGGAATGATGGGGATGGTGGGTGGTGGTAGTCGATGAATGTGGCGGCTATAATTGAGGATGGTGATGATGGTGGTAGAGTATGGTGGTGGTGGGTGGCATGGTGGTAGTTGATAATGGTAGGCGGTGGCGGTAGTTAATAATGAATATGAATGATAGCATCTTAATAAAATCAAGTCTTTGTTATAGATCTTAATCATACAGACCTATTCAGACCCATTAAGTGGTTGTGAAGTAAAATAAACACTAATGATTAAGATATGAATAATTAAGATTCAGACTTTAAAACAAACGCGCTTAATGTCTGAGATCTGAATGATTAAGATTCAGACATCCATTAAGTGCAAACAAATGAGGCCTTATTCCTTTTAGGAATCTTTTTCCCTTCCTTCAAGAAAGAGAGTCCTAATAGGTAAGAAATTCAGGGCAAAACCCTAACAGTTCCCCCTTGGTCTGAATTTTCTTGACAAAACTTTATCCTTCTTCATCACATAATCTTCATCACTGTTGTTTGCCATGGTTGAAAATAGTTATGGGTTAAACTGGAGCCATATGCGTTAAAAGTGAGCAAGAGTTAAAAATTTTGAAGCCCATAAACATTGGTGTGAAATTGATGATTTGCTTTTAAAGATGCAGCAACAAGAATGTTGAAAATATGGTTGAAAATTTTATCTTCACATGTAGTACTCCGGACATTTTTTTGACAAAAAAATTTCATTATCGTCAAATTGGCATTGCTTGGTTTGAACTCGCCTTCAATTTGTCTTCAACCTCATTTAATCATTGGCTATGATACCACATATAGGGATCGAAATAATATGGTGCATGCGGAAGCCAACAAAGACAACTTTGATGACGATAATCATGCATAAACAAAAATATCAAAAGAAACTAT